TGGAGGCGGAGGTGGAGGTGTGTTGGGGTGGGGAGGCGTGCAGGGGGCAGGCCAGCTGCAGGTTGGTGGGGTACTGCACGGGGATGCCGGACAGATGGTTGGCGGCGGCGCGCGCGTAGAACACGCACCCGTGACCGTCCGCATCCGGATAGTTGGGGTTGCCGTTGTGCTGGAAATAATTGTTTCACATAAATTAAGTTACACAATATAACATTTTGATAAAAGGCTTTTACATTTATTTCTGAGAATGATACTAAAAACGAAGGCTCTCAATCAATTTCAATACCCCAGTTAACCACTAGTAGACTTATCTCGCTGAATCTCTAATATAGGTCTTTGGTGGCCACTCTGATCACACTGACGTGACTCTGAGTGCAATGTGGCGGCAAGTAAATTTGTATTTGATATTATAAGGTGGCAAACGAACTAGCGGCCACCTGAAATCGCTGAACTGGCGGAGCGACCGCTACCACTGATGCCTTGCCTATGTTCAAATAATCTATGTATTCGTATAGGAATTTTGAGTGTACAAAGTAATGTAATATTTACCCATATGAGTAGCTGAGCGGCGGCGAGCTGTCCGGCGGCGGCGGCGGCGCGCAGTGCGAGGGAGCGGTCGTGCGGGGGAGGGGCGCGGGGCGGGGGCGTGGCCAGCGCACGCACCAGCGCCGCCACGTTGCCGCGCGCCGCCGCCGCACGCAGCGCCTCCCCGGACACGCTGCTCTCACCGCTACCCAGGAACGCACGACGCTCGTACTTCAAACGTATCCATCTGTCGAACGTTATATTTTATTTAATCCTTCAGAATGCTCAAAAAATCAATGTCATGAAACAATAAACAAACAAATTTCCAGTTATTATGTATTGGTTGTACCTCTCCTTGTCCTCGCGCGGCGCGTTGTGCTGGGGGCGGGCGTGTCCGCGCAGCTCCGCCTCCCACACCGCATTGGCCAGCGTGTTGCCCACACACACCATCACGCTCACGTAGCTCAAACTGATAGATTAACACAATATATATCAACATTTTCTCATGTAACATAAAAAACTTTAAGTAATTGCAAGAGTTCAAGAAAACTTGCAAGTTATTAAATAATTTTGTAAGTCATATTCATGTGAAGTTCATTTATTTGTAGAAAAATTAATTAAAAATTATACAAGAAATCAAACTTACGGCCATTCGTCCAGATCCAGTGAGCGCACGCGAGATATATGCGAGCCGAGGTTCCTGTGCACGCCCGAGCACTCTATGCAGATCAGAATACCCAGGTTCAAACTGGCCCAGTCTGGATCTGAAATTAAAATAACCTTATTTTACTATTACTATTATTATAAATGCGATTTTTTGGACGGATGGATGTTTTTAGAAGGTATCTCCAGATTAGATTAACAAATTAAATTTTTTTAAATTCCACACGGACGGACAATTCGCGAGCAACAGCTAGTAATATATAAAGGTAAAGTTAATATATCTTTTTTCTATTTAAAAGAATTAGATTAAGAAGATGTACAGACCCTGTGCCCCGCAGTCACAGCAGCGGTCGTTGCCGGGCACGCGGCGCACGTACTGCGTGGCGCGCACCAAGCCCGTAGAGTTAGCGCCCGTCGGCAGCGGCTGCCGGGACGTCTGCGAAACAATACATCTTATTCATACAAAATTCTAGATGTATGGATGTATAGATTTTTGTTAGAAGATATCTCCATAACAGCATATTCTAGGAGAACAAATAGGTAATTACTTAATTTGTTTTCAATGCTGCACCTCAATACTATATTTACTGTTAGATACAATCACCATCAACCATTTGAAGAAAAACATTGCGATCCGTCCGTCAAAACAGTAGTAACGATTTGTTTTTTTTTTTTTTTTTTTATAACAAAAGGGGGCAAACGAGCAGCGGGAACACCGAGGTGTTCAACGACGCCCATGGACATCAGCAATACCAGAGGAACCGCAGATGCGTTGCCGGCCTTTGAGGTGGTGATAAGCTCGCTTCTTGAAGGACCCTAAGTCGTAGCGGTTTGGAAATACCGCCGAGGACAGACCATTCCACAACGCTGCTGTGCGAGGCAGGAAGTTTCGCGGAAACCGCACGGTTGTGGATTGCCAGCCATCGAGATGGTGTGGATGGAACCTGGCGGTCTGTCGTGTCGTCCGATGACGGAACTCGGCGGCAGGAATCGTTCCAAACAATTCTTCAGAGCACTCCCCGTGGTATATGCGGTAGAAAATGCAGAGGGAACTAACGTCCCTCCGCAGTGCCAGAGTGTCGAGCCGATCAGTAAGAGCTCGGTCGTTGACGATTCGAATCGCTCTCCGTTGTATGCGGTCAAATGGAAGAAGCTGGTACTGGGGTGCTCCCGCCCAGAGATGCGAGCAGTATTCCATGTGGGGCCGAACTTGCGCCTTATACAGCTGAAGGCGGTGGCCCGGTTGGAAATACTGCTTCGCTCTGCTGAGCACACCCAGTTTTTTGGAGGCCAGCTTGGCCTTGTCTTCCAAATGACCGCGAAACTGAACGTCATTCGATATGTCAACGCCGAGAATACTGATACTGGCTGAGGCAACCAGGGGAGTGCCCTCGAAACGAAGATCCACGACAAAGGGCTGTTTTTTGTTTTGGCAGTGGAAACCCACTTTAACATTATATATCGGTAGGTACAAACCCGTCCTTGCAGCGAAGCTAATATCTGAGCCTCTACGGCGGCCACCCAGGCGTCCCTCTCAGCTGCAGCCGCCGCCCCCGCGCCCGCCGCGCCGCCCCCCGCGCACACCTCCCAGCGCCACCGCTTGCCGTCCAGGCTCACTATTGTGAACTCGCACGATGTCGCACTCTCGCCTTCTGGAAATTGTAACAACCACTTTTACTAACATAAAAAAGAAGAATTTAATAAATCTTATTATCATTATAAATGCAAAAGTTTGGACGTGTGAACGGATGGATGGATGGATGTTTATTAGGTGTCTCCAGAATGGCTTTATGGATTTTGATGACATTTGGCATGAATGTAGAACATAGTCTGCAAGAACACATTGGCTATTATTATTTTTTTTATTACGCGCAAACGCAGGCGATAACTAGAAACTATTAATATTATGCAATGTTACATACAATTGCTGAATATTATAATAATTTACTTTTTATTATCTACACCATGGCTTAATAGAGTCCAATAAAATTCTGTAAGATGTAGAACATAGTCTGGATAAACACATAGGAAACTTATTTCTTTTTAAAGTGCAAATGGTAATTTAAACTGTAATACTGCCAATAGAACTATTAACAGTGGTACAAAAATTCCATCTAATCAAAAATAGTTACTGACCATCATCACCATCTTTCTTAACACCGCTACTCTTCATACGTCGATGTCGTTTCTTAACATGAGGCGTGTCTTTGTCCGCACCATTGATGGAGCCCACTTCTACTTCTGAGGCCAGCAACTGTCTGCTGGAAGCTGGTTCCTTCAGAGTGTCAAATGCTGACAACAAAGCTTTATCTGTCGCTCTGGATGGCTTCTCTTTGTAACCTATGAAATAAAAATTATATAGAGCACAATACAAGAGTTTGTTTTTAATTATTATATCATTAACTAGCAGTCGTCCGCGTCTTTGTCAGCTCAGAAAAAGTGTATAAAATGACGCTACGCATAAGCTACCTTTCCTATATGGTCACATCACAATCGGGCCAGCCTTACCGAGAAGAAATAACAAATGCAATTTGTGGACGGACAGACAAAAATTTTAAAAATTGGTTTTGTGTAAGTAAAGCTATATGATTTGTGTCTTAGATGATACATACAAACAGT